CACATACACATACATATATGCATACATATTTACACATAAACATATACATATACATAATGTACACCTAGTGCCAAAAGGAAGCTATCTAAAGGGACGCCCACAGTTAAGGGGAACAAACGCGTGGATCCCAAACAGTGAGCGCCAGGGGGAACGACGGGGCGGAAGGCCACGGCGGAGCCAAGCGGATTATAGAGGATAGAGACTCAGGATTCCCTTCATTTTTTGCAGCGACCACGTGATGACCAAATGCCATACGCGTGGGTAAGCTATTGTTTTTCTCACAGGCGGTGCCTGCGCATGATTGACCTGTGCAAGTACTTTGCGTGACAGCGCTCGGCCACATGAATTGCATCACCTATCGCCGATTCGTCGGCGCAGCACCAAAAATCAGCTGCCGACCCATACTTTGGCACCTCTCTTTCGAACAATTCAACGAATTGGTGGAACTTCGGGTAAAATTTATACCGCGTGAAAGATCCATTTAAATTCTCTGCCACTGCCCATTTGTTAAGTTCACCGTAAAGCGTGACAAACACACGCGCCCATCTTGCACACTTCGGCGGCGAAGCATAGCGGTCCCATCGGTGCAGTTCAACGTATATATGATGAACAGCATCCACACAATCGAAAACCAGCTGTTCGTGGGCATCTCGGGGGGGGAAGAACCGCTCAATGAGGAGCCGCGTGCATTTTAGCAGCCTGCGGGTTTCAGACGCCTTCAACTTCATTTTCGGGTTTTCCCCACTTGTCTTGATCATATTCATTGTGATCCAATTCCATGGCGGGCTCTCCAAACCAAGGCTCTTAGAACAAATCGACATCAAGAGCGTTAAGTGGCCTAATGTCCCACACGGGCGCGAGACAACACCGCCCATGCGATCAAAAATCTCGAGCAATACGTTGGCGAGAAAATATTGCAAACACCCGAGGTCCCCTGCGTGCATTAAATCTATAGCCACGTAGTCCAATATAAAGCCTGGTATGCTCCAGAAGGGGCTCGCATATCGAAGGCCAGATAGCATTTCAAGTCGAAACGAGAGGTCGGAAACAGAAGTCGTCCGCCATGCGGCCGCGAGGGACGCATCTGTGTAGGGGAATTCCGTGTTATAGCCAGCTTTGCATTTCCAACATACAATTTTATTGTCGCCTTCCCCGCCCCACCCAGATACGCCGAGAAATTGTTGCATCCATGACCAATCACCTTTTTTTTGGCACACGCCCATGCGCGCCCGAAGCGAATCTCCTTTGCGAGCTCTTGCGGCCCGCCATCTGTCACCTGGAGCTGCTCATGGACTTGTACCTTACTCCCCCCCCGCCCCCTCGCCCGCCCATTTTGGGGGATATTTTTGAAAACGGGATGTGTGTTGTGGAGAAAAAGGGAGGGGAGGGCGACGGGGAGTGGCATGAAGATGAGGCAAGGTAAGGCAAGGCAAGAGCCGTCAGAGGTCGATGCATCTTAGGATCTGTTAAGCATTCCCCCCTCCCCCCAGCGGAGGGGGAATGCTGCCAAGCAGTTACCGATACTGTGACCTCACCTGAGATTAGGCCTTTATGCGGGGGCGAGGAGGAGGAGGGGGAGGACGAGGGGGAGCGGGATGCAAGGTACATGTCCCCGCGGCCTGGCAGCTTGGAGTCTGCAAAGCGGACTCCGTCATGCCTCGTCGATGGCCGCTTGCCTGTCAGGGAGACCTCCATCGCCCACACCAGAACCCGAACAAAGGAATCGAATGTGTGCCGTCCGTGGCACCCACAACCGCAACACACTCGCTTTCCCCACGATGCGAACCAGTGTCGGGCGCGGTCAGCCCCGCCGATTGGGCCCCACAACATAAGATAGATGCTGTCGCGCGTCAAGAACCCAGCAGGATCGCCCCACACAGAAATTGGAACAACAGAACTGGCCGCATCTGGATGTAAGTCAACTCGCTGACACCACTCTTCACGAATCCGAAAAACGGGGTGGTCATCTCCGATATGCGTAAAATGATCGACGCCATGTTTGTCAATCTCGTATTCCATTATTTCGTGCGGCAACTGGAAAAATACGTCATCTTCGAATGACTCCGCATTGAGATGGTCCCAAAACACACACTTGGCAACGTAAACGGGTGGCCTTTCAGATCTCTTCGAAAGGCAACGAATTAAATCTCTGGAAATGTTTCTCTCGTGCTTGCCAGACGAACCACAACGTGACATGTGAACATCCCCATCCTTCTCTTTTGAAGCCGCCACCCTCACATCTTTAGCTGACAATTGGCCTCGCTTGTATTTTGAACGCAACCACTCAGACAGATCGGTGCCGACGGTAGGTTTCACAGCCTTCGAACATTTCGAGCGGCCAATCACTTTTGTTGACTTGCTCGTCAGGCCAAGCTGTTGCCGAATCCCCATTGCGAGAAACACAGGCAGGAATAGCAAACGACACATCATCATTGCCAGTCTGTCGGAGTGGATTGGGCAACAACGGCTTCGGATGATAAGGGCGATCACGATGCTCCCACCGTCGGTCCCCCTTGGTCCCCATGGTCCCCCCTGGGTGCCCCTTGGTACCCCTTGGCCCCCTTTGGTACCACTCCTCGGTCCCCCTTGGTCTCCTTGGTCCCCTTGGTTCCCCTGGGCCCCCCCTTGGTCCCCCAGGAGGTCGCATTTCGGGGCGGGGGCCCAGAGGTCCAACCCAATGTGACGATGGTGGATGCTTTAATCGTTGACCATGGCAGATGATGATAACGATGACGACGACGCAGGGAACCCACAAGAGGCCCAAGGGGAGATCGCCTTTCGGGGCGGGAGCCCAGAGGTCCAACTGGGCACCAAAGGCGAGCAGCCAAGAGGAAGCCAAGGCTGGGCCCCAGTGTGACGATGGTGGATGCTTGAAGCGTCGACGATGGCGGATGACGATAACGATGACGACGACGCAGGGAACCCACAAGAGGCCCAAGGGGAGCTCGCCTTTCGGGGCGGGAGCCCAGAGGTCCAACTGGGCACCAAAGGCGGGCGCCCAAGGCGAGGCCCAGGGGGAAGGCAAGGAGGGGGTGTACATATTTTCCCGAAGCAAAATCCAAACCAGAACTGTTGCCAAAAGTTCTGGTTTGGATTTTCGAACGTAGCCCCCCCGAAGGTAGTAGGTTGCTGGTGGTAATGATGGTGATGATGATGTTGTCAGCTCTGCGGTTGGGTGATGCAACCTTTTTTTTGTCAGCGGACGGCGAGCTAGCTGCCCCGAAGCTTGCCGAGGCTCCCTGTTTGGTGAGTAGTGTAGTGTGCACACTCTGTCGCTGGCAACTCCGACGCTGCTTACTTCTTGAACTTGAGGAACTCGCTCAACGTGTTAGTCTTGAACGTGTCGTACTCCCTCTTCTTCTCGGTGAGCATGGCTCTGGCCGACGCGGAGTCTGCGTCCCTCTCCTGGTTGTTGGCGTGCGTCTTACCCTTCGTCTCCGCCCAGAAGTTGAACGCCTGGCCCATTTCAGTCCTCATCTTGTCCACGGCCTCCTTCAGGTAGTCGGTCGCTGCGCCACCCCAAGCCTTCGAGGCCAGCTTCTGCTCGATGAGCTTCGCCTCGTCCAGCTCCTTCTTCGACTTGTCGTAGAACTTCTTCAACTCACTCAGCTCCTTCGCCAAGCTCTCCTGCGAAGCCTTGGTCGCTGGATCGGGCCCAGCGGGCGGGTCGGGTTCGGTCGCGGCTGGCGTGGCGCGTCTGCTTTGACGCTGTCTCTTCATCGGTGGCTTGGTGGAGCCATCAGCCGACGAGGGCCCAGACAAGTCCTTATCTTTCAGCACGTTCGCCACGGGCTCGAACTCCTCAGCGGAAAGCTCAACTTGTTTTGCGAGCTCCGCACTCTCCTTGAGGACCTTCTCGAAGACCTCCTCTGTGACCTCCACCCTGAACTGTTGCACTCCAGTATCCGCCAGCTTCTTGTTCTCGTGGGGTCGACTAGGCTCGCCCTCCAAGGCGATTCTCGCGTGCTCCATGCTGTTCAAGAAGAGCGGCCCCCCGTACTGCTCCAACGTGACCCAGAGGACCTTCTTGGTCGTCTTCTCGATCACCTCGCGGCTGGATTTGTTGGTCATGGTGCCGCCGCTCTTCGGGTCGATCATGAAGCTGGCCAGGTACTCCCTCTTGTCGTTATCGTCCTGTAAGTTCTTGAACAGCACCGCCTTATCCTGGAACCTGGAATTGAGGGCGGTGTTCAGTGAGCTGAAAGCCTTCACGCGAAGCGCGTGAGGGAGCACAGCCAGGTTCTCGCCAGTCACCTCCAGCCCCTGGGCCTTGAGCGCATCGGCGGCTTCCATCATCGGCTTCGGGAGCTGGTCAGCGGGGCGCTTCGGCGGCATATGTTGCAGAAGTGACTTGGCCGAGGTTCGGAACCGTGGTCAGCTTGGGCCAAAGTTGCTCTAGAGGGAAGGGGGAGGAGCGGAAGAGGTCACCGCGGCCGCAAGGGCCAAGTGACCGATCCCTGGAGGCCCCATCTGTGCCCCATCAGCCCCCTAAGCAGCCCCCATATCTAACACCTGCCCCCTGTTAGATATGCTGCCGGATATAAAAGTTGCGACAGTTACAGGGATCTATATCTAACACTCCCCCCTGTTAGATATGTGTTAGATATGGGAATCCTCGGTGGGCGCGCGGGTGCGCATCTGTCCAGCCTGGTGGGTCTGATCGGTGCCGGTTTGGATTTTGGAGCCCCGCCCTCCCTGCCCCGTGGGTCTCTTTGGTTGTTGCTGATGGGTATTGTCCTGGATGATCAGTTTAGATTTTTGTTAGCCCAGTTTCGCTAGTCCCAGATCTCTGGTGGTTTCAAGGATCAGCGACACCTTTACCAATCTCCCCCCTCGTTGGAGCTCAAACGATGCAGTTCGACGATGACGGGCTCAGTTTTTGTCACAACTCAACATGTTTCAATCGCTTTTGAAACATGTTAGCGCTTGACGGGGTCTGTTTTCAACTGCGACGGCGCGACTCAAGCTTAGCATGCAATCCCCGGGGCTTTGCCCCAGACTCAAGAGCTGCTAAATATCTCGACTAGCCGTGCTACGCTATCCTCGAAAATGCTCGAGGCTGGGCTGTCGGGCTCCCAGGAGCCTTCCATGATACTACGAAGCCGAGCGACATCTTCATCTTCTTCTCCAGGGTCTGGCACCGTAATGAGGCTGTCCTGCGACATGGCATCTTCTTCCTCATCGGTCACCTCTATCGGCTCGGGGTCTGGCTGTATCACCTCTATCGGCGCGGGGGCTGGCTGCAAGACGAACGGGTGCTGAGTGGCATAGTCGAATGGGCACTCGAACGCGGCAGGGTCGGCTTGGTCGTCGTGGGCGCGTGAAGCGCAGCTGTAGAAGGACGTGTTCTCCAAGTGGTCGAGCACGTATACTCGATGGCCATGCATGGGGCAGATGGGCAAGCGCTCAACTGCAATGTTGTTGACGTCCGTGTCGGTAACGGTGAAGCCGCACTGCAGGCACAACCACTGCCCTTGAAACTCGGAGCCGCGAACCCGAACAGGACTCCACTCCATCCTCCTGTCTGACGTGTTCCTGAACTCACCGTTGGCCATGATGACGCGCGGGCAATGCAGCATCACGACGTGAGCTGGCACGGGCGGCATGTAGTTCATGATGTCTGTGGCCGCGTTGTCGATCGCTGGCCTCTCGTCCCACGGAGATGGGCCAGTCGCTGCTGCCACCGACGCGTCAACGTTCTCCCGAATGCTCAGATGCACAGCCCGACAGACAGGGCATATGATGGAGCCATCGCCCTCAATGCACTCAGCGATGCAGTGAACGTGAAACGCGTGAGAGCACGGTAGCGTGAACCCCTGCTCCGATACAATCTCCAAACAGATCGCGCAAGACATCGTTTGAGCCAAGACGGCTACGCGTAATATTGATGGCGACGGGTGCCCGAGGTCCCCCCTGGGTGCCCCTTGGTACCCCTTGGCCCCCTTTGGTACCACTCCTCGGTCCCCCTTGGTCTCCTTGGTCCCCTTTGTTCCCCTGGGCCCCCCCTTGGTCCCCCAGGAGGTCGCATTTCGGGGCGGGGGCCCAGAGGTCCAACCCAATGTGACGATGGTGGATGCTTTAATCGTTGACCATGGCAGATGATGATAACGATGACGACGACGCAGGGAACCCACAAGAGGCCCAAGGGGAGATCGCCTTTCGGGGCGGGAGCCCAGAGGTCCAACTGGGCACCAAAGGCGAGCAGCCAAGAGGAAGCCAAGGCTGGGCCCCAGTGTGACGATGGTGGATGCTTGAAGCGTCGACGATGGCGGATGACGATAACGATGACGACGACGCATGGAACCCACAAGAGGCCCAAGGGGAGCTCGCCTTTCGGGGCGGGAGCCCAGAGGTCCAACTGGGCACTCAAGGCGGGCGCCCAAGGCGAGGCCCAGGGGGAAGGCAAGGAGGGGGTGTACATATTTTCCCGAAGCAAAATCCAAACCAGAACTGTTGCCAAAAGTTCTGGTTTGGATTTTCGAACGTAGCCCCCCCCCGAAGGTAGTAGGTTGTTGGTGGTAATGCTGGTGATGATGATGTTGTCAGCTCTTTTTTTGCACGGGGTGGCACCCAGGTGCGCGCTGGGGTCTAGGCTGCGGGGTTCGGATACATCGACCTCAGAAGTTTCGCTGCCTTGAAGGCCAAGTCCGCGTCGTCGCCGAAACCAAACTGCACCCCGCCTTTCTTGTTCAACTTCTTGCCTTCGAACATGGCGACGACGGCGTCGTCACCGAGCCCAGGGAAATTCTCGGGGATCTCGGTCACGCGGTCCACGTAGAAGCAAGGAGAGCGGTGGAGATCACGAAGAGAGATGGTGCCGCCATCAACCGCGACAGCGTAGCACGTCGCAAGTTCGTTGCTGTCTCTGCCAGCGAACCCTTGCAATCCACTCCTGGCCTCCTCGGAGATGCGGTCGATGTTCTGCCTGATCTTCTCTTGAATGCGTGATGGTGTCGCAGCTGCCGTCGGCGTTGGAGTTGTCTTTGCCTTCGCCTTTGGAGTTGTCTTTGCCTTCGCCTTTGGAGCGGTGGGCGGTTCTCTGTTTTCCACTGCGCCAGCTGGCCTCTTCCGAGCACTCGCGGGCTTTCCTTTTTTGGTCTTGTGGCCGGCCTTGGGCGGCTTGCGCGGGTCTGCTGGCGTGTAGTCGATCGCCCCATCATCTTTCAGAGCAGAATTTGGTAGTTCAAGTTGCAACTCCATGTTGTACTCAGGCCACGTGGCGACCAGTCGCCCCTGCTCTCCGCACTTGAACTTGGCCATCTCGCGGGACCCGTCTGACATTACCAAGTAGGACTCCCCAGTGCTGACGTCGAACCGTTTCAAAACAGGGACGACTTCCTCCTCGCTCGAGGCGTCCTGCGCTGCCCTGAAAGCTGGCAGCGGGTGCGGGCGAGTCTTTCTCACTGAAGCCGCCCCCTTGTCAACGTCGATGACGTTGTAAATGTCACGCAGCTCCTGTGGGTGAGACGACTCGCGAGCCTTCGCCTGCCCGCTCGCCCCCAGCTTGTTGAAGTCGTCGGCCTTGTTGCGAACGTGGGACAGCATGACCCTGACCACGTATGCGCTGTTCTTGTACCCCTCCTCATGGGTGTACTCGTTGAGCTTGCACCACCCATCCCACATCGTGGAGTGGGCCTCCTTAATGGCGCACCTCTTGATGGCGAGCTCCACGTCGGACTGAAGGAAGTACCCGCCTCTCGGGTCTACCTGCATCAAGCGTTTCAGCGTCCCAGAGAAGGTTACCAGGGCGTCCACGTCGACACCGATTTTCATGTCTGTGCTGCTGTACTTGAACCCACCGCGGAACAAGATATCTCCGAAGTCCGGTTCGAGGGATTCAACCAGAACGTCATCAGCTGTCTGGTTCGCTTCCTCAGTTGGCGCCCATGCAGCAGGATGCCTGGAAGCCATATGTATGATATGGAAAGAAAAATAAATGAATAGTGGAATCGCCAACATCATTGCCACTGTGCCCAAATGGCTACGGCGGCGACGGCGGCGATGTTGAGAAAACGACGATGACGACGATGAAAAGGGGGCCCAAGGAGAGGCCCCAAGGGAGGTCGCCTTTCGGGGCGGGGGCCCAGAGGTCCAACTGGGCACCCAAGGCAGGCACCCAAGGGGAAGCCAAGGCGGGGCCCCAATGTGACGACGGTGGATGCTTTAAGCGTCGACGGCGGATGACAATAACGATGACGACGACGCAGGGAACCCACAAGAGGCTCAAGGGGAGATCGCCTTTCGGGGCGGGAGCCCAGAGGTCCAACTGGGCACCCAAGGCAGGCACCCAAGGCGGGGCCCAGGGGGAAGGCAAGGCGGGGCCCCTCAGCGCACAACCCAAAAGGCTGGGCTTGTGGTTTGTTGCGTTATCAGTTCATTATTCTGTTTGTCTTCTGTTTGCGTTTTTGTTTTAGACGCAATTGTCATCAAACGCTTGTTTTTAGATTGCGAAAACATGTCGCGACAGCGTTCATATCTAAAAAATTGAACCTTCAAATCTTCAGGCTTCCAAGCCTTCATTTTCCGATTTTGCAGTTGGTTTCCGAATAACACCCTTTACGGTATCGATCGAGCTTCGTAAACTTGTGTACTGCAATTATCATATGCTTCTTTTCCTCGTTCGTTTATCAAGTTCTGCGGTTGTAATCGTGAGTAGTCGCATTACCCGCGTAGCATAAACACAGCGCTCAAAACAACGTACCTGTAGACCCCACGCATATTCCACGCCGAACATAAAATTCACAACGCGCGCGCGCAACGCGCTCGCGCGCAACTCCTCACATAACACACACAGACACACACATCACGCATACACGGACATATCGTGCAAGTTTTGGGGTGAACAACACATCGGTGACGGAGCGTGCGTGCGTATTCACGCATAATACAGGATCGCCATTACATTTGATTGATCCCGCCCCCCCCCCCCCCGAGCCTCCGAGGTTTTTTGGGGTGGGGGGATCAGACACCTGTAAGGACGATCTTGCATTTACCTTGAATACGCACGCACGCTCCGTCACCCATGTGTTGTTTAGCCAAACGCTTGCAACGTATGCCCGTGTATGTGTGATGTGCGTGTTCTGTGAGGAGTTGCGCGCACACACACATGCCTATGTATATACGTACATATACATCACACACGTGCGCGTGAATCCAAGCACGTACGCGTATGGATGTACATTAATACACCAGACAAGGTTTGTATATGTACATCCATACATGTACGTGCGTGGATCCACGTGCACGTGTGCGATGTATATGTACATGCCCTGGGGGTCCGATCCACGTTCTTTGTCGAGGATTCACGATCGTGGGACATCGACCACGATCGTGGATCCTCGATCGCGATCGTGGATCCCCGATCACGATCGTGGATCCACGATCTACGATCGGGGATATCAGGATCCGCGATCACGATCGTGGATCCTCGATCACGATCGTGGATCCACGATCTACGATCGGGGATTTCAAGATCCACGATCACGATCGTGGATCCACGATCACGATTGTGGATCCTCGAAAAGAACGAGGATCGGAAGCCCAGGGTAAGCGGGGCACCCGCCCGGACCAGCACCGGCGCCCGCGCGCTCGACCCCGCCGCGCTCTCCGCCGCGACCTCTGCAGGCTGCCGCCCCGCAGCGCGGCAACGCGCGCCGAGGCCCGAGGCGCCCGCGCCGCCAGCGCCACCGCCACTGACGCCAGTCACCTCACTCCCGCCGGCCCCCGCACCCCCGATGCCTGCCCCGCCTCCCCCTCCACTGCTCTGCTCATCTGGCGCCCCGCCAACCCTTGGCGCCCCCGCGTCGGCGCTCTGCCCCTGACTGCGCCCCATGCGACAGTGCACCGCCATGTGCGCCTCCTTCGGCTTCACGTGCGCCGGCTCGCCTCGCATCCTGCGCGGCGCCTTGTCGCCGTCAAACAAAACGTGCCCCCCGCCAGGGACGCGGCGCAACGTCGTATAGTGACCGGTATGCACTGTTTGCCCATTGTGGTACACAACGCCAACCAGCTGCATCTGGGGGAGCCCATGCAGTTGCTCTTCGACCCGCGGGCTGCCGCGCCTCATGGCCCCTCCTCAATTGAACCGCCAAAACGTGCGGCACGCCCGTGAGTCCCGTCTGCTGGTCGTGCCAAACCCGGTCGGCAGCCGCGCGGCAACGCGCTGGGCAGCTCATCTCAACTTGTTCAGGCGCGCAAAAGTCGGAGTACATTTCCGACAACATCATCGGCCCGCCGGGCCGCGCATGGACCCGCGGCTTCAGAACATCCTCCGCCTCGTACGAGACGGACAAGTGCCCGCGCTGACGGCATTTCTGCCGCTTCTCCATCACAAACCCGAACATCCGATCCGCGTGCGTCACGCGCATGTTCGTCGCACGAATGCTCTCGGGGTCCGACTGCGCAAAGCGTCCGGCCAACTCCTCTCCGCGGCGCGCAGCCGACATCAGCTTACCCCAATACGCAAACACATCATGCTGCTGCCACTCGTTGTGGAACTCACTGGGCTGCCCGAGGAAAACGTCGTCGCTATCAACATTCGTTCTCCGCCGCGCGCTCACGGGTCCGCCCTGCCAGCGTCGCGACACCAACTGGTTGTGCGTGTCCCACATCCCGCAGACGCAGCAACGCCCACTGGCCCTCTCCTCGCAATCGCCCTCCGAGTGCCATCGAAGCCACTCCCAGACGGCAGGCGCCCGCAGCATCAGCTGCGTCACGCTGACCACGTAGCCAGAATGTCCAGGCCGCGGCGTCCCACGGACGGGCACGCTACTCACGCTGTCCCACGAAGCCGCGCGAATACCATCCACGGGAGGCACGTCCATCTCTCCAGGGCTCGGCGGGGGCTGAGCCGGGCGCTCCGACACAAACAAACTCTGCGGCCCGAACGCCGCGGACACCAGCTCTTCCCGACGGCGCTGTCTTCGGGCTGCCTCGCGTTGCTGCGTTCGCATGTGCGCCTCCTGGTTTCGGTCCTGCGCCTGCTGCCTCGCCAAGGCCGCAGCCTCCCGCCCCTGCTGCAACCGATTCTGGACCTCGGCACCCTCCAGCCGGTGCGACCGATCGCGCGTCGCCTGGAGCGCGAGCCGGCAGCGCTGCGCCAGGGCCCTCATCTTATGCTCGCGAGAACCGAAGCACGCATGGGCACGCACATACCCGAACAGCCCAAAGTGGTCTGACAAATGGAATTCGCAGCCCTCGAAGAACACTTTCCCCTTCCCTACCAAATGCACCTCCGCCCAAAGCTCCGCCCCGAATATAACCTGGTCCCGTCTCTGGCCGACAGCCCCCCTCTCGCCGATACCCGAGTAAAACTTGTTCCCGGGGCAGCCCCAAGAACGACCTTCGTACCAGGTGTCCCTCAAACGCAGCTGCTCCACGGCGGCCTGCACCTGGGAGTCCGTGCTGTTCATGTCGCCCAGAATGAGCAGCCGGTCGCAAACTTCCGCGCAAGTCCTCGTAATCTTGTATCGCGCGACGCCAATCCCATGCCGCACCCGCGGGCAAGTGGACCGCCGCCACGTTCACCCAGCCCTCGCCGCCCGCGCCCCCGCCTCCGGGAACTTCGACCCGGCACAGCACGCACGGGTCCTGCCCTGACAAAGCCTTGCCTTCCGCACGGAGACCGCGCCTCACGTACAGGTGCACGTGCCCCCTGGACTCGTGCGCATGGGCCACGCCAACCAACAGGAATTCCGCCTCCAGCTCCTTGTGCGCCTCCCCCCCCTCGCATTTCTGCAGAGCAACGACATCAGCCCCGCGCGCCTGCCTCCAACGGAGCACTTCGCCCAGGACCGCCGCGCGCTGGTCGCGGTCGCTCCAGGTGGGCGGCGCCACGGCCGAGCGATGCCCACCAGCGATATTCCACGTTGCAAACGACGACGTCGACGCGCTCTCCAGGCCCTCCTCTTCGCCAGCCTCGCCCGCCGCTTCCCCTGGCACAGCCGCCCTCGACAAGCTCGCGCCTGTCGCGCTTGGCGCCGAAGCACCCGCGCGAGGCACGACGCCGAACGCGCCCAGAACGTCGCGGCATTCCTGCTCCGAAAGCAACAACTCCACCCGCGCCCCCCGCGCGCCGACGCCCGCCCGGAACGACGCGAACGCGCCCCGTAGCACGCGACGCACGTCAGGCACGAAGGACTCCGCCGACGCACCCAGCACGCCCGCATTCGCCAAGCGCCCGACACGGCCCAGCAGAAGCCCGAGCGCGCAGGCGATCCTCTGCGAGGGAACACGAACGCGCGGCGCGTCCCCGAACTCCACCGCCGGCGAGCGCCGCCCAGCACTGGCACCGAGCGGCCGCAGCAGTGCGTCGATATTCCAGGCGATTCGCCCTGCCACGTCCTCCCTGCGGGCCCGATCGTGCACGCGCACTGCGAGAGACTCGGCTCGCCCGAGCGCCTCCCCCGGCCGACCAGACGTAACGCTCACAAACATCCAGTCCTGCTCGACACCAGATCCGCTCAAAGGGTCCACGGCGACGACCATTAGCAACTCCTGCTTGTCACTCACGGAGTTCGCATCCCACGCGCTCGTCCAAGTGTGCGCAGTCCGGGCACAATGCTCCGGGGTCTCCTCCGCGCCAACGTGCCGGCCTACCTTTGCCGAAGCCACAGTCATCGGCAGCTCCAACCCCGCGCGCAACTGCCTCGCCACCTTCAAGAAAAACTCCAGCGCCTGGCCCTCCAGCCTGCCCTCTGCCAGCGCGCAATCTCCGCTCGCGCGTTCACGGCCCACTTGTCCATGCGCAGCGCGCAGCCGCCGCGGACGTCCCCGAACGCGTCCTTCATCCTCTTCGCCGCCTTATCCAAACTCTTATGCAGGCGCGGGGCCACCAGCGCGCCCATGGCCTCCTTCACGGCGCTCATATGCAG